AGAGAGAGAGAGAGAGAGAGAGAGAGAGAGAGAGAGAGAGAGAAAAGAAGAAGAAGAAGAAGAAGAAGAAGAAGAAGAAGAAGAAGAAAAGAAGAAGAAGAAAAGACAATGAAGACCTTACAGAAAAGGAGGAGGAGCTTGATCTGGATCAGAAGTGAGTTAACACTCTAGAAATAACCTGCTTTTAGTCTATTGAAAGTGTACTCCTTTCTTAATAAACTTTACTATTACTTTTGAAAGAAAGAAAGAAGAAAAAGTGAGTTAGGACTTTGTCAGGAAGAGCAGAACATGTTAGAAAATTATGTAGAAACACACCAAAACATGAAGCAACTGGACTCATTGGTGCTATTTGGTACAGCGGGTACACAGAGAGCTGGCTAGAAATGGTGTGGCCAGGAACTGTGTTTGGCCAAGCCTTCCCCAGGCGAGGGGAGGATGGCGAAGGTATCATTTGCTCTCACTGCACTAGCTTTGTGGAACGTGGGCTGGAGGAGGCAAGGCGTTGCAGAGGTGTTACAGAGGTAGGGAGACCAGTTCAAAGGCTGTTGTAATTATCAGGTGATGAATATTGGGACCTGAATCTAGGCAGTGGCTATGAGTTTGGAAATAAATAAATGGGCTAAAAAGATGATCAGGAGGAAAATATGAGAAATGGTAGGAAGATATAAAAGATTACCAAGATTTCTGATGTCGACAGGTGGAAAGATGGAACATCTACCTAGCTGAGGGAAAATGGGAGGCAGAGACAATTTTGAGGATGGATGAAGTTGAGTTCGGGAAATCCATGGGGGATCCAGGCGGCTTCATTATAGTGAGGATTGGCAGTGGAAATGAAGTTGGGCTGCATTTTAGGGATTTAGGAAGCAGAATGAATAGAACTATTAATCAGCCTCTGGCAGCTGAGCCCTTGAAATCTGGCCACTCCAATCTGAGCTTTCTGAAGTGTGGAGGAAACTCCTGAGGACAAGGGCTGCAAACTGGGAGTCTGTCCATGCGCACATGGCTGCTTTATTGTAGTGTGCCCACAACAACAGCAATGACAGTAACAATCAGTAACACACAGAGGGAACTCACTGCATGCCAGGCATTTTTTCTAAACACTGCATATATTAACTCAAAATATATTCTCACGACAGTCCTTTGAGATAGGTATTATTCCTGCCCCCAAACACAAAGAGGTTCCTCATACTGCCCAAGGAGAAGCCAGTAAGCGATGGACCTGGCAAAGTGGGGGACCTGCAAAGTGGCAGTTCCGAGGCTGACTCTGCCTGTGTGTGTTTAAGATTTTAAGTATTATGAGGATGCTGCGGACGAATACAGAGACCAAGAGGGTACGCTGCTGCCGCTCTGGAAGTTCCAAAACGACAAAGCCAAGCGCCTGGCCGTCACCGCCCTCTGCTGGTGAGTACAGGCATTGCAGCAAGTCCAGAGTCCCAGAGTGTCCTCTATGTGCCAAGCCCTGAGCTGCCCCTTTCTACTGCACTTCACCACCTTAACTATGACACGTGACAATATGGGAAAAACAGGACTGGGGTTCTTATTCATTTTCAGGATCACCCAAGGTCTCCTGGTGGTAAGGGCCTAAAGCTAGACAATAAATGTCTGCTATGTAGTTAGGCACCAGTGCCCACCAGAAGGCTCAGGATCATGGAAAGGTCATGTCCATTTCCTGTGCCAATGGGTTCATATTTCTTTTGCAGGAATCCAAAGTACAAGGATTTATTTGCAGTGGGACATGGTTCCTGTAAGTGATCTGGCTATTCATTCATTCGTTTGTGCAAAAAGAAGACACTAAGTTCTATTCTGTACAGAACTCTTTGCCAGGTGTGAGAAATACAAAGACAACTTGAGGGGTATCTCACAGTCTGATCTGGAAAACCCATAATCGTATGGGCAATGAGTGCTGGGTGTAGGAATATATTAAGTTGAATATGAAAGCTGATTATGCCAATTGAGCCTCAAAAAAAGAGGAGAGTACTCTGGCAGAGGGGGCCAGCATGGGCTAAGTCTGGAAGGATGAGAGATATGACAGGAAAACAAGCTGTCAAAGGGGGGAGGGTCAGCTCTCAAAGGGCTTGGTAAGCCATTACAAGAAGACTGGACTTTCTTCTGAGGGGAAACCACCGAAGGAAATGGAGAAAGACAGGGACATGTCCCTGCAGGGAGGAATTGCAGGCCTAAGACTAGAGGCTGCGTGATGCCCAGGAGAGATGGAAGGACCTTGATCACCCTGAATAGTAGGTTGGAGGCCGTCTCCCTGCCTCCTCTTATCTGACCAGGCCCTGGGACAGGACACAGGTGAGGATAAGGTGGGGGCAAGTGCTTGAAGTTCATGCATCTGCCTCTGAAAAACCACTGTTTTCCAGGTGTCCCTGCACCTGCCAGGAACCCACCAGAGGCAGGGAGGTGGCCCACGATGGTAACTGTGTCTGGGCAATTCACTTTTCCCTCATGTAGCAGAAGCTTCTACCGCTGTGCTGGCCTGCACATTCCCCCTTCCTAACAGGAGAGGGCCCTACACATTACGTTACGTTACGTTCAGCACACCTCCCTCATGCTAACAGCTTGTTTTCTGGCTGGGAGGATCAGCTTCTGTGAACAGAAAAGCCTCTCCATTCTCCAAGCTGCTGCTGGCTGGCAGGCATACAAGCTCCTGGTCGCTGCCCCTTAGATCGCCTGTCCGCCCATTCTTTGACCCGGGTAGGGGAGACAGAGGTGGGGGATCAGGGCGGAGTTGGTGTTTGTCATTCCTCTCAGGGAGACCTTGGAGCTGCTCCCAGTCTTGTGGTCTGGGCTGCCTTTGAGGACGCCCTAAATGCCTGCTTTGTGTCCCCACTCCTGAGGGTGGGCTGCTGCCAAATGGGAAGCACCCTCCCCCTCTGGCAGGGAACTAGCACATTCCTCCCCCTCTGTTGCAGCTACTGGGCCTGGAACAGGGCCTGGGGGTTGGGCAGGCCCTCCCAGGAGTGGGTGTGGAGCCCCCTGTGAGGCTGCTCTCAGCCCAGGCTTTCTGCCCAGGACTGAGGTGGAAGGGGGGAGGCTCCCCAGAAGGTGGGAGGAGAAACTGTCAGTTCTAGCCCCATCCTCCTCCATGCAGGGTTAGAGATTAGAAGCAGTGTCAGCTGGTCAGGGTCATGTGGAGGCTGTCCATGGGGGACAATAGAGGACCTCAAGATGACAGGCCTAGTAGCTTCCTTCAGTTAGGCACTTACCTGGGAAAGGTCTCTTTCCTTCCTTGGTCTTTTTAGTCCCAACCTGAGTGGTACCCACAGGCAGCTACATATCTTCCCCTGGATGATCATTTCTCTCTGGTGTACCTTATTGGTGACACAGAAAGTCTGACACACTGCCAGGCCTCCATCCCAGAGCCATTGTGAGGCACATGAGAGAAAAGAAGTAAATATGTCCAGTGGCACCTACACATGAAGGACCACCCTTGCTAATTTGTCAGTCCTTCTTCCCCCTGGCTTCCCTACAGTACCTTCACAGGACTAGATCAGAAAAGTGGAGCAGGGGGAGTTTCTAAGGGGGCAGGACCCAGCAGCAGTGGCAGTAGTATTTACAGTGGCTATAACTGGAGTTGCTGGCCTGCTTTCAGACCAACATCTATTACAGAGCCTTCTTATGTATCTCAGTACCACCTGCAGAGGCCTGAGGCAGGCAGAGGTCCCCGTAGTTGCTAGTTGGAGTCACTGTGAGGAGCAGCTGGTCTCACCAGCTTCCACCACAGTCTTTGGAAGTCCCCAAAATACCACACCCCATTAAAAGATTTTTGCCTGCTGATGTTGGTGGCTCACACATGTAATCCTTGCTACTCAGGAGGTAGAAATCAGGGGGAACCACAGTTTGAGGTCAGGCAAATAGTTCGCAAGACTCTATCTCAGAAAAACCCAATATAAGACAGGGCTAGCAGAATGGCTCAAGTAGTAGAATGCTTGCCTAGCAAGCATGAGGTCCTGAGTTCAAGTTTTTTCCCCAGGGGTGGGGGGGAAAGAAGAAGAAGAAAAAAAAAAGATTTTTGCCTCATGAGAACAAAACCGGGTTTGTTGCTAGATTTGAACCTCGGAAGCTCAGTCCAGAAGACCTCATAACCTTCCTTTGCCTGGAGTTCCCAGATGCTTATTCTGTGACTCTGCCACATAAAACTTTGGTAGGCTTAGGCATATGCCCTAGGAAGAACTGTGGCCTAACTCCCATTTTTGAAACAGGGAAGGTTGCCTGGAGTCAGGAGCAAGTAGGTAGAGAAAAGGGAGTCCAGGCAGCTTCCTGCAGCATCACAGAGCACCCACACCGTAGGAAAGGCTGTCAGCAGGTAAAAGCAGGTAGAGGAATGTTGGCGGACAAAGGGAGCTAGTCCAGGAAAAGATGGCCTCAGAACAAAGGCTGGGATGAAATTAGGTCAGCCTGTTACACCAAAGGGGTCCTTTCCAGCTCATTAGTCAGTTCATAGCAGAGAAATGGGGACTTCTTATGGTCTGTCATGCAGGGATGGCAGAACAGATCCTAGAAACTCTGTGGTCCTGATACTGTCACACAGGAGATTGGGCAGGAAGCTTCTCAGCATGTCACATATTGAAAAGAAGAGGAGCCAGCTTTACCTCAGCCCAGGCTCCCTCTGGAAGCATCCTCAAAAAGAGGCAATGCGGGGCTGGAGTGTACCTCAAGTGATAGAGTGCCTGCCTAGCAAGCATGAGACCCCAAGTTCAAACCCCAACATCACAAAAAAAAAAGTGTGAGGGGGAGCCAGTGCAGGCTCAAGTCCCAGGACTAGACCCATTCCTGTTCTGTCCCACCACACTCTGGTCTGTCCCTCAGCCTGTCGAGGCCAGAGATACAATTGTAGGGATTTAAATCTTTCCTGATCATTTATTTGTCAGCTGCACTAATTAAGCAGTGTTAATTTCATTTACTGAAAATGGAAATTCCTCCACCTCATTTCTCCCTGTTCATCCTCCACACACAAATCCATCACTCCTCAGCTGCAGGCTGCGTAAAATTTACAGGAGTAATTATGTTGTCATGTCTCTTTGTAAATACAGTCCATAAAGGCCACTGTGCTTGCTGGATTATAGTGCGAGGGCATTCCTGTTGTTAGTTTAATTACTGGTTAGTTATTTAGGTTCTCAAATGTTTGCCTCATTTTCCCTAAATCAAATTAAATGTCCCGCTTGATGTATTCTGTCTCCAAGGCCTTGCTCTTATTTCTCACACTGTTTAAATATGACTTCTAACCCAATGAGAGGGCCTGGAAAAGCCCTACTGTCTGGGAGCCTGAATCCAGCTTGGCTCTGTGGCCTCTGGCCTATGCTTGAGGTTTGGAACCCTCTAGCAACCAATATTCTTTTTCAGGCCAGGTTTGGGTTGGTCCCCTTCATCTGGAGTCTGTAAAAATCCCAAAACGGGGTGGCAGGGAAACTGCGGGAGGGTTTATTATTGTCATCAGAAGAGCTGAGTTGCATCTGTCCCCCTGACTTGAAGAACTGCTTCCAAACTGTCCCAGAAAAAAGTGCTATCTATGGGAGCTTGTCTCTCCTACTCCTAAATGTAGTTTGAGTCAGCCTTTCCTGAATGCCTCAAATATTCATTTCCTGCTGCTGCTGTAGCAAATGATCACAAATATAATGATTTAAACAATACAAACTTTTTATCTTATAGTTCTGGGGGGTCAGAAGGTCAAAATGGGTTTCGCTGAGCTAAAATCAGGTGTCAGCAGGACTGCATTCCTGCTGGAGGTTCTCCAGAGCACCTGTTTCCTTTTCTTTTCCAGCTTCTAGAGGCTGCCTGCATTCCATGGATTGTGGCCCTCTTCCAGCCAGCAATCGCATCACTCTGACATCTGCTTCTGTCGTCACATCTCATTCTCTGACTCGCCTGCCTCCTCCTTTCCCTTATAAGAACCCTTGTGATTACATTAAATCCACCCAGATAATCCAAGATAATCTCCTATCTCAAGGTCTTTAACTTAATCACATCTGCAAAATCCCTTTTGCCATGCAAAGTGACATATTTATAGGTTCTGGGGATTAGGATGTGGACATTTTGGGGGGAGGCATTCTTCTGCCTACTGCATGTCCCCTCCAAGTGCCTCTTGCATGACTTAATAAGGGAGTCATCAAACAGCTGCTGCCTTGGAGCCAGGCCTGGGCTGGCCTTGTTTAGGATGCCGCAGTATGAGAGGACCTGCTAGTTGAGGCTGGCACGGTATCCTTGTCTCTGCAGTTTGGCATCCACTTCCTACTGACTGCTGACCTGGCTTTAGCCTCATGCCCCAACATGCCCTCTGCCTGCGTAGGTGCTCAGGGTTCTCCAGAAAGCCAGAATGCTCTAGAGTGGCCCCTTATGATCTAGAAGTGTTACCTGCTGGGCAGGAGTGGATTGTGGATCTGAGGCCCCCATTGATGGTTGCCAGTTCAGGGAGACATCAGAGTCCTTCAGTTTTGTTGTTGTTGTTGTTCTGCCAGGGCACTAGCAGAGGAAGCTGAAGATAGTCAGAGCTTTGGTCTGACTGATCATTCCCTTGTCTGAAATCATGACTTTCTGAGAACTGCCACATCAGACTCTGCCTAATCAGGAGTTGATTCTTCTCCCTGAAACCTTATAGATCATTGAAGGGTAGAGTCAGGGAAGCCTTAGTGAGCAAAGTTAGCAGGAGGCAACTCTGTCACCAGAAAGAGCAAGCCAGATGTGCTCCCTGTATCTTTTATGGCAGGCCAAGAAAAAAATATCCGCTCATGGTTCCTGATGGTGTGGGGGGACCTGAGTCACTGTACTTTCCATTCCTTCTCTAAGGACCTAGGAAGTTTGTGGCATTCAGAACAAAGTACCCTCAGGACCAGTCCCAAGTCTCTGCAAGCCTCAAGTCTGACAGGACTCTAGACCTCATTGGTAACTGAGGCAGTGTAGATGACCTTGATGCTAATGTTATACTGGCACTGCTAGAGACCTGGTTGATGGGGTTATACATGGAATGATGGATGACTGAGCAATGATATCACTAGTGTGATGGTTTGCTGGTTGGCGATATCATGCTAGCAATGTTGGAGGATTAGAAAATGAGGTCACTGAGTGATAATATCACATCACAACCATTATTGGTTTGAGTAATGATGTCATTGAAGGGCTTTTGGAAGATAAGATAATGTTATGTTGGGCTGTGATGTCACACTGGTATACCTGGAAAATGGAATAGTGAGATCTCAGAGTGGGGCACTAGAGTCAGGGATGAGGAATTCATAGCATGCACACGGCCTCAGAACTAGTGTGACTGGTTGCTGTCTGTGTCCCTCTCTTGTGAAATCCCTGCCTTTCCCTGCATGGTCATTTCTTTTATCATGTTTGCCTTCCATGGAGAAACCATGGAAGAGAAAACCAGCCTAGAAGAAAAGCAGAGGTAATAAGTCTATGATAGAAATCCCAGGATGAGAATAACCAGTCCAGATGTTTTGGAGGGTTTTTTTGGTGGTGGTTCTGGGGTTTGAACTGAAGGCCTTGTACTAGCTAGGCAGTCACTCTACCACTTGAGCCCCCTTTTATCATGTTTGATTGCCCTGTCCTTACACAGTCTGTACTCTAGAACCTGGAGTGACTGGATTGGCTTTGCCAGTAATCACCACCCTGTTAGGTCTGGCCCCTTTCTCCTTTGTCCACATCCATGTAAAGACCAGATTTTTAGAGCAGGGCAATTTTAGCTATGAAAAGGATATTGAGTGTGGCAAATACCATGTGACACATATCATGCTCCTGATCACACTATTTGTTTCTGGGCTTCAATTTCCCTACCTATGAAATTAGAAGGCCGTAATTTTAACTTCTAGTCCCAGTGGCTCTCAATTCAGAGTTATTAAGCCAATGTAGGGCTTCTACGCTATTTCCTGGCTTCACTGGTCACGGACACTGTGCATATATGTAGGGTTTGTGTAGAGAAAGTGGATCATCACTGCTATCTCTCAAGGGGCCAGGCCCTGTGCATAGTAAGGGCAATTATGAGGGCTGTGCCCACCTCAGCCCCTTGGTGCAATAAGGATAACATCTCAGTCCTTTGCTTGAGCACCTATTCCTTCTCTCTCATTCACCCTCTTACTTACATGCCTGCCCACTTGTTCACCCTCCACTGGTCTTGACCAACACTGGGGACAGATTGCAGTCATGTGTCCCAGTGGCTTCCCTCTGGCCTACTGGAGGGCCTAGCAGTGGAGTGTCTCTGACACTGCAGGGGGCAGCCCAGGGGAGGTTCAGATCAGGTGCTCAGGATTTGCTGGATTAACAAAAGGAACTAAAGTGAGGATCACACTGCCCAGTTCAAGCCTTTCATGTTTTGGGCAAGAAAGACAATACCCTCAACCAGTAGCAGATCTCTCCCTTGGAGAGTCAACCCTTGTGGTCCAGCCCCACAGTATGGGGGCACTTCCAACCCCTCCTCAACCTTTTACTGACTTTGAGATGGAGCCAGGCACAGGGTGATCCTGCCTTGGCTCCACGGGATCTGGAGCCCTGAAGTTCCTCCTCTTCACTAGGAGGCTCACTTTCCCCAGAGAAGTGAAGCATCATCCTTCCTAAACCACAGGGTGCCCTCTCCACGGCTCAGGCTGAACCCTGGAAACTTCCAACCCAGGTAAAGCCCTCCTCATATATGTGGCCTCCCTCACAAGTGATTCTGGGAGGGGTCCCCGAGCAGTCTCAGAGCTGGTAAGGATTAGCTTTAGCAAGGAAAGGTGGGCTTCCCCATAGACAGCTGCTCTCGGGGGCATGCCAACTTGCCTCAGCTTCTATTGCAGGCTCCCTTCTCCCAACAAGAACATAGATTGGTCTTTGCAGAATGCCTGGGGTGGGGATACCTGGGATGTGGTAGTAGCTGAGGTCATGCCATGAGTTCAGGGACCTGAGTTCAGATTGTCCTTGAGCTCAACTCAGACCGTTACTCTTTTGAGTAAGAGGCAGCCTTAGAAATAAGAGAGAATGACTCAACAAAACTAGCCAAGTTGGAGCCAGACACTGGTGGCTCACGTCTGTAATCCTAGCTACTCAGGAGGATTGTGGTTCCAATCCAGCCCAGGTAAATAGTTTGTGAGACCCTATCTTGAAAATACCCAACACAAAAAAAGCCTGGTGGAGTGGCTCAATCAGTAGAGTGCCTGCCTAGCAAGCATGAGGCCTGAAGTTCAAACCCTAGTACCACCAAAAAAATAGCCAAGTTGGGGTTGCCTTCCTCTCTCTCCCACCCATGGGCTCCACATCTCAAGATTGGCTACTTTGTCATGAGGTCCCAGACACTGCAGTTGCCAGGAACAAAGGAGGTAGCCTTGGAGTAAGAAAGGTGAAAGGGCTAAATGGATGCCTTGATATAGGGTACCCAAGAAGAGGGGCTGTGCTAGGCTTCCACCTCTCTGAATCTGGCTCCTCTGTGCTTGGGAAGGGACTTGAACATCTGGACTGGTGCAGGAGAGCTGGACTCAAGGTTGGGACTATGTGCTGCTCAATGACTGTACATCAGGATGAGCACCAAGTGTGCAGAAAATGAAGGACAGGGGCTCTCTTGACATGGACAATCGGGGAGGAGGCCCTCAGCTGAGTGGTCCACTATTGATTGCCAAAAGCTGCGCCTAGGCTGAGTGAACCTATGGAAGCCCGACAGGCTGGCTGAAGACTTCTGGATATAGGGAGCATGCCCAGAGCCAGAGCACGGGTTGCAACTGGGGATTCTGGGGCCTGACAGGGTGAGAAGATACTCACTTCTCACTATAGACCATCATATTCAAGCTTAGCCCCTCTCCTTGGCTGAGGAGTTAGGGAGAGATGGGCATTGTCCAGGCATGTATGGGACAGCAGCCTGGCCCTCGGCGGGGGTGGGGGGGGATATACGAGGGTACTCTGAGGATACTACTCCTTGTCAAGTCCACACACATTCTTAACAACTCTTTGAGCCTCTGTCCTATTTCCTGTGCCCCAGGGAGAATAGAGAATGTCTATCTGTCCCTCAAATAAACCTGGTCACTTTTACTGTTACTGGATCCTTATGTTATGCGTGGTAGGCCCCTCATAATTCCAAATCAGTCAGAGAAGAATCCCATGCTCTCCGACAGGCAGAGCAGGGCAGAACTTGCCCATCTGGTAGGATAGCTGCAAGGAGGCTGGCTCCCTGGCAGAGCAGTTGGATCCTTCAGCCACATCTTCCCATCTTCCCTGGACAGATGACTTTATGAAGCAGAGTCGGGGCATGCTGCTGCTGTACAGCATGAAGAACCCCAGCTTCCCTGAATACATCTTCAGCAGTGACAGTGGCATCATGTGTCTTGACGTGCACGTGGACCACCCCTCCCTGGTGGTGGTGGGTCACTACGACGGCAACGTGGCCATTTACAACCTCAAGAAGCCCCATTCCCAGCCCTGCTTCCGCAGCTCAGCCAAGTCTGGCAAGCACACGGACCCTGTATGGCAGGTCAGCCTCAAACCAGGGACCAGGATGGGAGCAGTACATGGGCCTAGGAACCTCTGGAGAAGGGAGGAAAGGGCCATGAGTGAGCAGCTAGGGATGGCAGGTACCAGCTTAGAGGCCAAAGAGCTTGACGTGGGAAGGGGCAAAGAGCTGGGGTCTAATGCCCCTGAACTCCCAGTAGGAGGGTCCCATCCACTGACCAAGGATCTCCTAAGTATGGTCATTAGTAACTCAGAGGCCACAGCTGGAAGCCTCCAGGGCTTGACAGGCTCTGGCTGAATATGTTAGAGTTTAGACCCTGCCTACAGGCTTCCTCAGCTCCCCATAGGGGCTCTCTTCTACAGCCTGGGCTAGATTTTGGGGAGCTCCTGACAGGTGGGTTCTGCCTGTTGCCTATCCTCTGGGTGAGGATGGAGGCCCGGTGGGCAAGGTCTGCCCTTGAGCCTCTCATAGCACCTCTTTTCTCCAGACAGTTTTAGAGGGACAGATAGGCCTCTGCCATACTCTGAGACCAGCGGGAACTATTGCCAGGACATTGAGAGTGGATTTCACCTTGACTCTGTCTCCCATCTTATTCTACTGGGAACAAATCTGTTTCACTCTCAGAGAGCTCTTGGCTCTGGCTTTGAAGTCCCTCCCTTACCAGAGTAAGGGAGGTCTCTTCCTCTGAAGCTGTGCCCACCATGGGCAGGTCAGGGAGAATCTTTAAGAATGAATTTCTGCCTCAAGTTGCCCAAAGTCTCTGAGCTCATCAGGCAGCACTGGGGCTCTGTTTTCTCAGCTTTCCCTGTCTTCCAGGCCTGATAGTCTTTAATCTCTGTGCCCCTACCTCTCCTGGCCCGGAGCAACCTGAGACAATGATCTGAGCTCCTAGACAGGCCTGAGCAGAGGGAGGACTGACCAGGAATGGGGCACATGGAGCCCTCTCTGCTTCAATCTTTATCTAGAGCCTGAGACAGATGTTTGGAGGAAGGCAGTCCTCCTGTATACATCTTTCTCCTACTTTCCACAAAGTTGAGACCAGAGGCTTCAACCTCAGGAGTTCTGTCCATCCAAATGTCCCCCCCACCCCACAGTTTGTTACTCTAGGTGTGTGGAGATCTCCAGACATGAGGAGGATATCTACAGAGACTTTAAAACCCAAGGCGAGAAGAAAAAACCTGTCTTGATCAGACTGAGCCAGTGCTATCCCTGCTGTGTCCCTCCCTGCCTTCCCAGTTCAGATAGCCCAGGGTCAAGCACAGAGCATCTCTGGCCCACCTGACCACCCTCCTCAAGCCCAGGAGAAGGAGAGAGACCCAGGCCATCTACCCCTACTCCTACTCTACAGTGTTCTGTAAATCAAATAGCAGGTTGGGGAAAAAATAAGGTATAGAGATGACATGTCATCCCTTCCACTGGACAGGTCCCCGGAAGCCTGCAGCTTCACAAAACAGAAGAGTCAGGGTTCTTGGCTGGAATCATTGCATGTGACCTGGGAGGACTCATCTGTCACTCATTCATCTACTCACTTCCTATACCCTTCTTTTCCTCTCACTCCCTATCATCTCCCTTCCTCATTTATGAATTAATTCATCCACTCGGTAATTCCTCCCTGTTTGTTACTCTGGTTGCTGAAGATGCTCAAGGGCCTAGTCTCTGGAGTTCTAGTGGAAATATAACCACAGCCACAGGCTGACCAGGGCAGGCCAGAGTGCTAAGTGCCAAAGACTTCATGTGTATGGAAGGCATCTACATTGTTCTGGGTAGGGACTAAGGGGAGGGCCAGGCAGGTCTTCCTAGAGGAAGCAAACCCTGAACTGAATTGTGAGAGGATGAGTGTTAGCTGAAGGAGAGCACAATGACACAGGACCTCAAGCACAGTAACTTGTTGGGAAACAACACATCATTCAGAGAACGTGTGAGAGACGAAAGACTTGAGGAAAGGGCCAGCACCCAGTCATGAATGTGCTGAGTTAAGAAGCTTGGACAGTGTAGGGGCAGTGGTTCTAAATGAAATGTTAATAGAGAAGCATAATGTATTAAAAAGATGAGAGTGGAACTACTCTGGAAGAATCATGACTCTGCTTGGTTAAGAGTTCCCTTTTATCACTCCCCCGTCCCCTAAGATTTTCCCTGAGCAGAGTTTGAAAATTGCTGCCCAGTCATCAGAAGGTTTGGGGTGGAAGCTTAACGGTTGTGATTGAGTTGTGATTGGGGTGCTGCAGCATGAGAAAGTTAAAAAGCTGAGCAAGGGTAGGGCAGAGGAGGTGAAGATGTTGTTAGGACAGTGAAACTGATGGAAGGAATTGATCAGATGTGGGGAAAGGGAAGAATTGATGTTGCCTGGGTTTGGTGTGCTCACTAGGACATCCACAGAAGTGGGAAATAGCAGAAAGGAACAGGTTTGGCCAGAAGTTAATATAAGAAGCCTGAGAGACACTGGAGGGAGGTCTCCTCCAGGCAGATGGCTATAAGAGCCTGGAGCTTGAAGGAGAGCCAGGCTGGTAAATGAGATGCCAGAGACATCAGAGTCTAGGTCCTTCTTAAAGGGACTATATTTGGGGGAGATAAAAGAGGCTAGTTTGCACCTCAAATGCCAGGCTGAGGCAGAAGGAGTTTATTCTGTTGACAAAGAGGGGCTTTGGAAGGTTTGGAGCCAGGGAGAGAACTATCTTTTGAAGAAGACTGGGCTCCTGTCCCATAGCACAGGCTACTTCCCTAGGGAGCCTGCCTGGGTGGCCCAGCCCTTTTCAGGCCCTACTGTGAAGCCTTAACCAGCAACACTGTGTGGGCTGTATGTGTGCTGTGCAATTCTGAGGCAGGGAGCAGGAAGGATGCAAGACAGAGACTGGGGTCAGGCTAGTTTGTCCTAATCAGATAAGGCAGAAGAGGAGAAATCAATTAAGCAGGCTCCAGCTCCAGCTCCTCCCTACCACCCGGTCCCTGGGCTTCCATTCATTCTTTTAAGCTCAGTTCCTACCCTCCTTCTCTTGCTTTATTCCTACCCTCTCACCTCCACTCCAGGAGCACTGTGACTTGTGCACACACACACAGTCATTTGCAAATATACACACTCCACCCCCCATCGGGCATCAGGCTAAGTGGGGTGTGAAATACAATTTCCATGAGTGCTGGCATCTGCTTATTAAACACTTCCCTTTGCAGCTCCCTAGCGCCTCTTACAGCCTGGCCTTTGACACTCCTTGTCCCCTCCCCCTTTAAAGACACAGAAGGGGAAGCGGTCTCAGTCATCTGACTTGTGCCTTACAGGCTTTGTGGCATTCTGGCCTCCCCAGTGAGAGCACAACAGAGCCAGCTGACCAGACAGGCCCAGGCAGGATTCAGCCTGCCCTCCTTTGGCTCTGACCCATGAGGCCTGGGGGTGGGGGGTGGAGAAAGAAAAACCCTTCTCCTATCCCCAACAGCCATGGTGACAGCTGCGGTTACAGGCAACAGCCCTGGGTTCTTGGCCTCCCTCACTGGGCCTCTGCTTGTGACAGGGGGAGGGGACATGCTGGACGGTGGTCCCAGCATGGGCGGTCTGGAGGGAGCCTGAGGATGGAAAGCTCTGGGTACCCAGCCCCACCCCAGCTCTCTGGGACTTGGCTTGGCCAGGCCTCCACATCTGGCAACAGAAACTTGAGCCTCAAGCGTGTCATCTTCATAAGACAACAGCTCTGTCTCCAAAACACTTTCCCATATGTTCGCTTCCAGCCCTGAGAAGATGGGTGGGGCAGAATAATTAACCCCGATTTGCAGATGGAGAAATGCAACTCAAATTTGGGATTTGGGAGCAAGATTCTGGGAGCAGGAGCAAGAGCTAGTGTGGATATGAAGGTGGGAACCAAGGATACACTTACCAGAGAAAGGGCAAGCCTGAAAGAAGAGAGCAAGGGGTTGGGGCCTGCTCCTCCCTTCTCCCACCCACCTCCCAAGCAAACAAGGAAAAGGCCCTTGCAGAAGTTTAGAATTCACATACCTAGGATGATGGTAATAATGAGGCTATTAGCTAACATCTTTTTATTTTTTGAGACAGGGTCTCATTAGGTAGCCCAGGCTGGCCTCTAACTTGTAATTCTGCCTCAGCTTCCTGAATGCTGGGATTACAGATGTGAGCCACCAGGCCTAGCCTCATTATTTAGCCTTTATTGAACAATTAATATGTGCAGTGTTCTGATCTAAGAGTTTCACATATAGTATCTCATTTATTTTTTTTTTACAACAAGCCTATATTATTATGACTCCCATTTTATAAATGAGGAAACTAGTTGCTGGGCCCCGTCTTTTCCAGGCCATGTCTATCTACATAAGAAGGCTGAACCCAGAACTGTGATTTTCTTCCTACAACTAGGCTTCTAGAACCCAACCCAGGAAGGAATTGAGCACCTCCTAGTTCCTCCCACAGCTGAGCCCAATATTAAGGCAATGCTCTGACTGGCACTGTTGCTGCATGTTGGTCAGGGAGAGAGGGATAAGAGAAAGTCAGAGCTGAATGGAAGTGGTAGAGAGGACCAATTGGATTGGGAAATGGGTTCACAGAACTTGCTTCTGAGACTTGGATGGGTGCATGGGGAGCCCTGCTCACAGCCCTAGTTCAACAGAGCAGAGTCCAGAGCTTATTATGGTCTGGCATGTTCCAGGTCAAGTGGCAGAAGGACGACATGGACAACAACCTTAATTTCTTCTCCGTGTCATCTGATGGTAGGATCGTGTCTTGGACACTTGTAAAGGTGCCTGTTTCCCAGAAAGGGTGGAACAGGGATGGATTGGGAATGGGGGCCCTAAATGGCAAAGGGTACCCTCCAGTCCTGGTGATTCAGCTCAACCTTCATGCCCACTCCCCCTCCCTCTGTGACTGCAGAGCGAGCTGGTTCACATTGATGTCATCAAGCTGAAGGTGAAAGGCAGCACCACGGAAATTCCTGAAGGGTTGCAGCTGCATACAGTGGGTAGGAACCCCAGCCCTCTTCCCTCCATTCAGGCCCTCGAAAGGTTCCAGAACTCCTTCTCCGGCTTGTGCTGGAGTCCAGTCAGGGATGGAAAAGCCTGACTGTCAGCTGGGCAGTTGGCCATTTGCAAACCCTCCCTAGACAGGCCGGTCCCTTCCGCATTTGCAGACCCAGTTCTTGTTTATGCATATGAGGTGCTGTTATGCAGATCCATTCCTGTTTATGCAGATCAGGGCCCTGTTTACCCAGATCCTGTCCCTGTTTACTCAATTCCCACCCTGTTTATGCAGACCATATCCCTGTTTGCACAGACCATGTCCCTGTTTGCAGACCCCATCCCTGTTTACCCTGACCCTGACCCTGTTTAACTCAATCCCTGCCTTGTTTACCCAGGCCCCCATCCTGTCTGCAGAAGCCCTGGCCATTTGCAGAGTCCTAACTGCCTGGGACAAGCAGGCCAGAGGGCGGGTTTCTGTTTGCCTGGCCTAGTCCCAGCCCTCACAGTTGCCCAGGTTCTGTCTGGCGGCACTAAGCCCCCCTGCTGAGCAGGACAGTGCTGGGAGGCTCCCTCTGAGAACTGGACTAAGGCTGCCTCCCTCTTCTCTCAAGGATGTGGCACCGCCTTTGACTTCCACAAAGAGATCGACTACTTGTTCCTAGTGGGCACAGAGGAGGGGAAAATTTACAAGGTGAGGCAGTGCTGCCCCTGTCAACAACTTGCGGGACTACTTGGACCTGAGCACCTGGGGAGTTTATAGTACTCAACAAATCCTGTTCTGACAGATCTTAGTGCTGGTCAGTTCTGGAAAGCGTCTCGGGAGAGAAGAAAGGATTTCTTAATCTGCTTGGGTGGCAGGAAGCAGGGCTACATGCAAGAAAGGGATGGGAATTTTGGGGATGATATTAGCCCAGCCTAGTTTCTCCCCTTCTCGGCTTTTCTTCCTCTCCTAGAAGTAGAGACAGACTTGGGAGTGGGGACTGGGAGAATTGGAACATTTTGGGCAGACTTCCTGGAGGAAATCTGAACTTGAGCTGGGCTTTGAAGGCCAGGTAACAAACAGATTGATCTCTGAATACCGGTGCATCCCCACCGGCAGGACACAACCTCACAGCCAGTTTCTGCAATGTCTCAGTGTTAGTAGGTGAACATCCCTCAGAACCTCCATCCATCCAGAAATAGCTCTGCTGCAAGCTTTTCTTAGGCTCAGAGACTCAGAATGTTAATTACAGGCAGCCTCCCGGGAGCCCCTGAGGCCCAGCCAGAGCTGGTCTGAATGCAAAAGAGGTCCCCACCCCCTTCCTACCCCTCCCAGTGGCAGCCCCAGCAAGGCGGAAGGGAAAGAGACTAGTCACTCTGTCTCCCAGAGGGAGGGGGAGAGGCTTGCTTGTCAGGCCAGAAACTGAATGGGAAATATGAGGACCTGAGTCCGCTCCTGGCTCCACACCCGCTCTTACCTGCACAGGGTGGGATATTTTTCACTGTTGCAAGGATGATGCCTGTACTGCTGTGGACCCTGAGCTGTGTCTATCAACAGGCCATGACCTGGAGAAGTAGCGAGGCCTCACCTTGCTCAGGGCCTGAGACCACTCTGCGCTGGGACTGGGAAAGGAGACTTTTTCTTCTTGGCCTAGCTCAACCACTTTCCCTCCACTCACCCTCCAGGAAGTCTCCCCTGCCTAGACCAAGCTGCAACCCCTAAGTGCCTCCTTTCTTTTAGGGGGTGTGGAGGGTGGGGAGAACAGCCAACAGCTTGGCCTCAGCTCAGCTGTGACAGTGATGTAGGGTAAGGACATAGAGAAAGCTCAGGTTCTGGTCCTCCAGGGCCCCCAGGGAAGGATGGCTGCCAACTCCTCTCTCACTGTTAACCCTGATCTTTCTCCCACCTCCATCCTCATTCCAGTGCTCTAAATCCTACTCCAGCCAATTTCTGGACACCTATGATGCCCACAACATGGCAGTGGATGCTGTGACCTGGAACCCATACCACACCAAGGTCTTCATGTCCTGCAGCTCCGATTGGACAGTGAAGATCTGGGACCACACCATCAAGTGAGGGGTCCTCCTGCCTTGTGCCCTCCCCAGAGGTCTGGCACTGTGAGCCCCTTATGTCATGGGCTTCCCCACTCCACCACTGCAGGACCCCCATGTTCATCTATGACCTGAACTCAGCTGTGGGTGATGTGGCCTGGGCACCATACTCTTCCACTGTGTTTGCAGCAGTCACCACAGATGGGAAGGTGAGTGGCCCCTTTCTCACCCTGCTGAGCCTCTACTTGAGACAGGCTGAGTATCTTAGGGTCTCCCTCCTGGAGAGCCCATCCCATGCCCAGGTCAGTAGGGTAAGGTGGGACATAGGATTATCCTATGCAAGGCCCAGTGGAAAAAGGGGTCATTTATGTCAGGAGGCCTTAAGGAGGGAATGGGGCTGTTGGTCTCCATGGAGAAGGCATGGGGGATGGGATGCTATCACGCAGCTATTTCTCTCAAGTCCTGGGAAGGAAGCTAGAGGGTGGCAGGGGTCAGCTTCACCTATAGAAATACTTAAGAGCCAGAACTGATCGTGACCACGATAGTATCTATAAGGTAGTGAGGTCCCTCGACGATAGTATCTATAAGGTAGTGAGGTCCCTGGCTGTTGGAGGTACAAGCTAATTCTGAGAAGGTGCTTTAGTGGAGCCCCTTCAACACTGACAATAAGTGAAAACTCAGAAACAAAACTTTTGTGAGCATACTCTTAGATGTGAACCCATTTTCCTTATGGACTTTGATAAACTGCAAGCACTGCTGCTCCAGGAGAGAATATAGTGATTAAGGCATCACCCTAAAGTCAGTCAGTTATCCAGTCCCTGGACAGATGTTTATTAAGGGCCAACTGTTGTGCCCAGCTTCAAGCTGGGCCCTGGTGATTCAGAACTTGCTCTTAAGGAGCTTACATTATAGTGAAGGGAAAAACAAAACAAAAAAAAAGCAACAATATCAAAATTCCCAGTGTTAAGAGCAGAGGATTAAAAAGTGGGTGATATATGAACACAAATGTTTACAGTAGCATTATCATAATAGCCAAAGAATGAAACAACTCAGTATCCTTTAACTGATGAACAGATGAACAAAATGTACTGAGTATGTGAAGGGATTATTATTCAGTAATAACAAGGAATGGCATATTGATACATAGGACAACATGGGTGAAGCTTGAAAACTTTGTTACATAAAATAAACCAGACACAAAGGACAAACTTTGTATCACTCTATTTACATGGTATACTCAAAATAGATTTGCCTAGTATTCCTAGGTTTTATTATGTTCAAAAAAGGCAAATCTACAGAGATGGAAAGTAGATTGGTAGTTGACTAGGCCTAAGAGAAAATGGGGAGTGAGTGAGTGCTAATAAGTATAAAGTTTGTTTTGGGGTTGATGAAAACATTCTAAAATTAGTTGTGTTGATTTCACAAATGTTAATATACTAAAAACCAAAAGCTGTATACTTTAAATGGACGAACTTTATACATAGCATGTGAATTGGCTCACATAAAGCTGTTATAAAAAAAGAGAGATAGCCAGGTGTGGTAGGACACTGCTCTAATCCCAGCACTCAGGAGGCTGAGGCAGGATAGGGAGTTTTCAGCCAGCTTGGACTATGTAGGGAGAACCTGTCTTTAAAACAAAGAACAAAAAACAGAGAACTAGAGACAGAGATAGAAACAGAGAGAGAGAAAAGGATTGGCTGGATGGCTTCTTTGAGAAGGTGACATTCAAGCTGAGAGCTGCCTTGTAAAGACAGGGTGGGGGAGCAGTCCATACTGAGGGAACAGATGGTGCAAATGTCCTGAGGTGGGAATGAGCTCGAGGAGTTTCAGGAACAGATAGCAATGTGGCTGGGATGTAGAGAGTGAGAACTTGACGTGAGAGTGAGAAGACTCTGGGAGGAATTTTAATGTTTTAGAAGGAAGTCTGGATGCTGTGCTGCATGGGGGATGAATTGTAGAAGGGCAAGAGTAGAGGCAGGGAGACCAGGTAAGAGGCTGTCTGCCACTATTGTCTGGGCAAGTGGTTTGGAGTTTAGGTAGGGCAAAGAGAACATAAAACATTTATTGAGCACCCACATGTCAAGGGCGATCTGAGCACTTTACATCTATAAACTGGGATAAACCTGGCTTTGCCACTTATAAGTTAGCTTCAAAGAGCTTCTACTTTCTCATTTACAAAATAGAGGTAATAGAGTGGTTATGAGGAGCATAATTAGATGATGCAACACATGTGCCCAGAGTCTGGTACATGGTAAATACATTAGACTAGATAAATGGTAGCTGCTATTTATTCATTCTGCACAGATTTAAAATTTCTCCTAAATTTTTATTCTCACTCACTCGAACACAGGAAAAAATGTAAACAGAGACACACGTTTTCTTTCCACTGCCTCCAGCTCTGGTGTGCTAACCATTAGCCTTCTTTAGTGTCTCCAGAAAGTCCAAGGACTGGTTCTTCTGAGGTAGGGGACAGGGACTTCATTACCCTTGAGTGTGATGACACCAACCTCTCCATAGGCCCACGTGTTTGACTTGGCAGTCAACAAGTATGAAGCCATCTGTAACCAGCCTGTGGTGGCCAAAAAGAAGAACAAGATCACCCACGTACAGTTCAACCCCATCTACCCTATCATCATTGTGGGTGATGACCGGGGGCACATCACCTGCCTCAAGCTGTCCCCCAACTTGCGCAAGATGCCAAAGGTATGGGCTCCAGGCATTTGGGCTGCTCCAAGAGATAAAGATGCTGGTGGGTATGACCAAAAGGGGAGGATCCAGGGGTGATCCCAGGTTTCTGGCTTAGACGACCAAGGGGAAGGATGGTATCATTGCTTGAATTAAGAGTCTAGGAGGAAATAGAAATCAGTTTTGACATGCTGCATCTAAGTTAACTGTGGGGCCAGGATGGAGGTACCCAGTGAACAAGTGGGCCTGATTTGGGGGAGGCACAAGTGAGGGCATGGTCTTATTGCGAAAAGAAGACGTTATGGGGATGGCAGGCTGGAAGGGGACTTCAGGCTTAGCCAATGCTTCATCCCTGGGCTTACGCAGTGTTAGCTCAGTGGTCCCAGAGCTAGGAGCTGTGAGTCTAACACAGAGAAGGAGGAAATGGACCGTGAGGCGGGTAACTAGGTCAGTAGCTATGTGGTTTTCTTTTTGAGCTGTTTTCTGTTTCTGGGGTGTCTAATGGGTAGGAGACCCTTCCCAGAGCTCAAGTGCCCCAAATATTGACCACAGAACCCAGAGCCATGACCTTAAAGTCTACACCCCAGCCCAAATTGAGACTGAAGAACCCAGACCTCACAAACCAGGATATAGAATCCAGAGCCCCAGGGTCCAACTTAAAAAAATTCAGAGCCTAAGAATCCAGAGTCCAGTCCTGCCCATATGCGGTACAAAGAGTGGAAATGGCTCTTTGCTTTCTGTCAGATTCTGGGCAAGGGTCAGGGTTAGGCCAAATTGCCCTGATGACTGTTATCTCCTGGTTACAATTGGAGGCATTTATTGCAATTTGAGGCAGGGGCAGAGGCCTCTTTCAGCTACTGACTTCTCCCCCACCATGTTCCTGTCCAGACAGGGCCGTATACCTTTCCTCTGGTGATGGTTTGGTCTATTCCCCACCACGTCCAGGGAGGCAAGGGTTTCAAGCATGGCCGGGCTGTAATTGTAGCCAGCTGGGGGAGGGGGTGGACTTGGCTATAAATACTCAGAAGGCTACTAAGCGCCTGCAGCTGTGGCCCAGAGGCTGCGGTGGGCTTTGGGGGTGGGGGAATTCAGCGTGGTAGGAATCTCTTTGCTGAACCCAGCTAGTTGGCCTTGGGAGGGGGAAGGAGGCAGCTAGTTTGTGGAACAGATAAAAATCTGTTCTTAATTTAATGAGAGAGGGGCAGGCTTAAGCTGACAGAGCTGGACAGTCCTCTGAAAGGATAATGGTCAGTTTTAGGAGGGCACAGCCGAGACACCCATCGTGAGGATGGTTGATATGGATGGGAGCCCTGCTCTGATCTAGGAGGGCAAGGATCTCCTACAGTTCCAACTCCTCATAGAGAAAAGGTCAATCATAACTGGAGGGAGTGCTGTGCTCTGTGTATCTAGGGACTTAGATCACTGAGGACCTGCACAGGGGAAGGTTGGGGCTGATTCTTGGGTGGATTAGAAGTTCCTATGAAATTGCCATCTGACCCTAACAGCAACCAAGTGATTCATGCAAAAGGAAGTTAGTCCTCTGGGTAGCCCTACAGCCCTTCCCAAGAGGGCTGACTTCCCACAGAAGCCCTGATTTCCCTGCCCAGAGAGCTTCCCGTGCTTGCTGTTAGACTAAGTCAAGGATTATTTTTCCCTAACTACTGTATAGATGGAAAATTGAAGCTCAGAAAACCAAGGGACTTACCCAGAGTCATATGGGGAGTTAATGAGAGAGCTGGAACTAAAAACCAGGTCCCCTAAATCTCAGGGGATGGGGTGAGGCCAAGAAGAGAAACTGAACTTTATTTGGGAAACAAAAAGATGTCTTTGTCCTCTACCTTCAGAGTGTAGAGGTAAGCTGGGTAATGGCATAAGCACTGGGATGCAAGGGGCTGAGGGAGACAGTTCTGAGAGCAGGTGCCAGGATCTAGGCAGGGGAAAATTTGAGCTCTGTGTGGTGTCTGCAGCCAGGATGGGTCTGATTGACTGCACTTTCCCCCTACCTTACAGCCCAGGCCAGACCCAGGCTGGGCCTCAGCAGGCAAGACTGGGGTAGGTGCCAGTGAACAGTGGGCACAGGTGGCTAAGAGAGTAGGGGTCCAGGAGCAGAGGGAAGGCAGGAAATGGCAGCTGTCCAGCCTGCCTCAGCATAGCCCACATCAGAGTCTGGACAGTAAGGAAGATACTACTAGTGTGTTCTGCCAAGGAGTTCTCAGGGTGCCTATGAGTGACATCCCTTCTTCTCAGGACCCAACTTACCAGTGGAAGCATTACAGTGCTTTGCAGGTGGGCATTAGGGTCATAAACTCAGGATCTTCTGTTCTGAGGGTTAGTCCCAGCTAGAAACATCTGGAGTCCCATCTGCCCTCACTAGTCTCCTGATACCTTCCCCAGTCCTGGGTATGTGTAACACGGCAGGTCTGGCTTCAAACATTAACACATTTCCAACATAATCTGAAGGTATTAGGAAAAAGCACTAAGTGGAGTCCCCTGTGGCCTTGTCTATATCCCCTCTCCCTCCTCCAGCACACACCTGTTAGCTCTTTGATAGGACTCAGCCCTTCCTGTGGGAAGGGTAGTACCAATAATCAGCACTGTTCCTCCCCAGAACTACGGCTCTCTTGACCTGAAAGCCTAGCTCCTCAGAGTATCAGGAGATGTAACCTTCTCCCACTCCTGCCAGCATCAAGATCCTGTGTCTATTGAGTTTGAGAGTCAGAGCCAGATGCCTTCTCGTAGGCCCTCAGCTAGGCTCCTGGGTCACCTGAGTTGGGGGGAGGATCATGGGGGAGTAGGGTGGGGCAATGATCCAGTGTTTACTGGGCAGGAGAGGGCATGGCACAGCTGGGGCAGGCTGGGCAGAGGAGTCAGTGCTGGCACCCAGAGAGAGGCAGCCCATCCTTTACCATTCCTCCCCTATCAATATTTCTCCTCTCCCTAGGAAAAGAAGGGGCAGGAAGTGCAGAAGGGTCCAGCAGTGGAGATCGCAAAATTGGACAAACTGTTGAACCTGGTGAGGGAAGTGAAAACCAAGACATGAAGCTCTGGCCTCAGTCCCTTCCCCATTTCTTGAACCCAGTACACTGGGTCGGATGCCAGGAGGCCTAAGCATCCAGCAAGTGACCCCAACCCCTGATCAGGTCCCAGTATTTGCCCTTCTCATTCTGCTCCTGAAAGTCCTGACACTTTTCTCTAGACTTGACCCTCAACCACCATTACTCCCTCTTGTCTTGCACAAATAAACCTGATATCTAGAAGCTCATCTCATACCTTTAATTTTGCTACCATGGGGCTGTCAGGAAGAGGAGAAAAATCTCAGGGTAGAGCCACAGTTCTGTTTATTATCCAGCAAACAGTGGGAGGACCAGGGGAGGGGCCAGGCCTGGACACCCTCCCATTATTGCCATGGGTTCCAGTTTGCTTCCCCAACCTAGAGGGCCTGGAGGCGCTGAGCCTAGGGAAAAGGTAAACCCAGCCCTTGGCCCTTGGGATGGAGCAGAGTCCAGATGGCCCTGGCTCTAGCACCAACTCCTGAACTCCCACTCCAGGTCTGTCTCTCTAAGACCACCTGGGGCCTCTCTTGGAGTCAGGTTGGCTAGACTCTGGGCTGTTGGGTTTAGCTCCAAGCAGGCTGGACTCGAGTTCTGAACCCCAGGCTGGCTGAACTCTGGGATCCTGATTCCAGGCTCTGAGTGGGGCAGACTCAGGTCCCAGGCTCCAGGGTGGGCCAGGGGCCTTCAGGGCTGCAGCAGGTAGCTGCCTTCATGGCTAGGCTTCTGGGGTGGTGGTGCCTTCTCAGGACAGGGGCCAGGGCTGGAGTTGGGAGTGGATTCAGAGAGAGAATCGACGTCGGCAGAGCGAGAGTGGCAGGCCCAGCAGAGAATGACCCAGAGCAGCAGCAGCAAGAAGCCTACAAGGCCGTTGCAGACGATGGCGATGAGGGCCCCCTGGGAGATGGCTGCCCCCATGACGGGCAGCACCCTCAGACCAAAGCAGACAGCAGAGCTGCCTCGATGACAAGGCCCATGCCGAGGCAGAACTCTGGTAGGGCCGGCTCTCCAAGGAGGCTGTCCTGTGCACACACGCACACTTAATGATTCCTGGGTGGTGCAGATGCCCACCTGCAGTCCTGAGCCTGGGGGGGTACAGAGCAAAGGAGAGGATGGTGAGGAGGGAGGAGTGGGTGAGGATCTCTCATCTCTGATCTCCCTTGGCAGAGGACCTTGGGTGCCAGCAGGCTCATATACTCCACAAAGCCAACACCCCCATCCTCAGACCTGACTCTGGGCACCTAAATGCAGGTATAGCCATAGTGGGGAAGCTAGTATGGGCAGGTAGCCTCTTTTTTCTTTTTTTTTTTCCCTATGCTAGGGACTGAACCCTGGGTCTTGAGCATTCTAGGCAAGCATTCTACCACTGAGCTACACCCCCAACCCAGGCAGATAGCCTCTATTTCATTCTCCTGGTGGGCAGAGTCTGGCCCTGCCCATCAAGCTTCCAGCTCGCAAAGGCACACTGTTGGTGGGTGGGACTGAGGTAGCCCAAGGCCCAGGAGGAAGGGGATTGTGACCAGTTTCAGAGTAGCCAGGACACCACCTCTCTTGAGGACTGCAGCCAGCCAGCCCAGGAGACCTGCAGAGGCATCAGCTCACACAGAGGGAACTTTGTGGTGGCCCTGGCAGGCATGTATGGGTTTTGTGTCCCTAGATGTGCCTCTCCCTGGGACACTCTCTGGGTCAGGTGTGTGTGTTGGGTGTCTGGCTGTGCCACTGTCTCTCTGTTCCCTTGCTGGATGTGTGCCTCTGTCCCTGCATACCCACCTCTGTGATTGTGTGCGGCTGATTGCTTGTCTGTCCGGGTAGCTCTTTACATTTGTCTCTCTGTATGTCCTGAGTGTCTGAATGTGTCTCGTTTCTCTCCCAGTCTGTCGCTGTGTATCTTTGTATCAGTCCTTGTGTCCCTCTGTCCTCGTGGACGTGCTTCTCTCCCTTTTACCATGGGGTCTGTCTCGATGGTTCTGTGCGTCTCTCTGCCTTTGTGTCTGTCTCTCCTCCGCGCTGTGTATCTCTGTCTCGGTGCGGGAGTCTTTGTCTCTATCTTCGTCTCGGGTCTCTGCCCCCGTGCCCGTGGGGGGAAGCCCCCCCTTACCTGAGTTGAGCCCGGTTCGCGCCCGCGGGAGGGTCCGGGGCAGCGAGATGCTCGGCGCAGACTGAGGCTTGGGAGCCTGCGGGCGGGGGGCGGTGGGAGACAGGCAGGGGCGACGTCCACTCCCCCAGCCCTCCCCCTCGGCCGCGCAGCCTCCGCCGGCCGCTCCCGCCGCGGGGCGACCGGGGCGGCCTCTGCCGCTGGCGGTCTGCGGTGAGCCGGCACCTCCTCCCCCTGGGGCGGTGCCTCCTCCGCTGCCGGGGCCGCTAGCTCGCTCGTTCGGCGGCACTCGGGCGGCGGCGGCGGCGGGAGCGGCGCGGAGTTCGGCTGGGCTCGGCTGGGTTCGGTTGGGCTCGGCTTTGGCCGGCGGTAATCGGCTGAGCTCGGTCGAGCTCGGCCGACAGCAAAAACAGTGAAGAGCCCCGCCTCCTGGGTGGCCGGGGGCTCGCGGTCCGTCGGGGGCGGAGCCATAGCATTGATGCTGCCGCCACTCGATTGGCTGGCGGCGCCAAGTTCCCGTGCCATTGGTCTAGCTCTGGGGTGGAACCGGACCGCCCCAGTTCAGGCGGAGAGCTGGAGAAGGACTGTAGGGGCTACTTTGTCTTGATCCATCCCGCGAGAGATACTGTAGCGTGAAGGCGAGGCCCACTTTCTTGCAGGGTTTTTTTTTTTTTTTTGCACCTTCCATTTCTGGAAGAGCTGCATACCCAACATCTGTACAAGGCCAAGGCCTCTCAACCCCCTACATCTGAAGATCTGAGGAGACCACCCCCCAGGCCTATATCATCATGTAGAAGTCCCTGTGTCTCCATACCTGGGAGATGATTGAACCTCTTCATCTAGGAAAGTCCCTATCATCCTGCACAAACTACTCCCACTGGGTGTGGACTCTGCATCCCCACTTTAGAGGGTGGGTAGTTGCGTCCATAATCCGACTCTAGAAGGTAATGTGAAGCTCTCTGGGAACACCAGTTCTTTGGATGCATTTACTGAGTTCCCACCCAGAGTTGGTCCCAGGCTTGTGCTTTTCTATGCTGTAAGGGAGCTGACAGAGAGTGAAGTGGGGTACCCTGAAAAATGGCTCAGCCCTGACTGGAATAGGTGCAGGCCTGGTGGAGTTCTTGACTTTATATCCTAGAAGCTGTCCTAACAGGAAGATAACTTGGACAGGAGCAGTCAGGTAGGCCTTCCTCTCTGACTTCACATGCCAGCGACATCGTGTGTGTGTGTGTGTGTGTGTGTGTGTGTGTGTGTGTGTGTGTGTGTGTGTGTGTTGGGGATTTAACCTAAGGCCTCTCACATAAAACCTCACCACCTGCACCAGCTCGCCCCTCCTCCCCATTTGGGCCCTCATCTCCCTTACAAATTCTCCATGGACAATTACATCCCTGAAGCTATACCATGAAGACTCCTAGTCTTAATTTATCTCTTAACTTGACTCCTATATTGCCATGTGCCTACTGGAATCAGGTTGGTGGTGGTTCTGTCACTAACTTTGTGACCTTGGGCAAGTTTCTTACTCTCTCAACTTCATTTTACTCATGTGTAACATGGTTATAATAATAGCTACTTCTTTGGGTTGTTTTTCACTAATTCATTTATACCAGATCAACCATATTTTAGCAAATGCCAGCTGACATAACCCCAAGGACCATGTGGCTAAGGGGTCTCTTCCTTCATAGGCCATGAAATTCACATAAGACCCCTAGAAATCCAGATGCTGTCATGAAAAGGAGAAAGGGAAGGTTAAAATAATCTGAAAGGCTGAGTCATCCAAAGCTACTGAGTTAGAGATTGTCTAAAATAAACTTTGGACCCTGTGGAGTTAACCAGAATGGATTAATTTTAGTTTTCCCCTGTTACCCAGCAGGGTGAAGGCATTGTAAGAAAGATCAGATCAGTTATAGGAAACAGAAGACATCATTGCACATCTGAGTATAATGTAAGTGAATTTTGTGACCCAGCTGTAGGAGTTCATATTTTATCCTGAAAACAGTGAGGAGCCACTGAAGAATTTGGAGCAGAGAAGTTATGTGATCATATCTAGAAACCAGATGACTTTTTTCTTTTGGTGGTGGTATTGGGGTTTGATGGTCTCATTGCTTGCTAGGCAGGCACTCTACCACTTGAGCCACTCTACTAGCTATATTCAGAAATCAGAAGGATGATTTGGACTGCTGGGAGTAAAAGTGTATTGAAGGGATATTGAAGGCATTTGAGAGTGAAAGCAAGGGGTAATGACAAGGGACTAAAATGATGGTAGCAAATGGAAGGAGAGAGCAGGACAGCATTGAGTATATTTGGGAGCTTCAGCTGGCAAAACTTAGAGACCTACAGGATAGGGGAGGTATGAGGGAGGCAAAGTCTGGGATAACTCTCTGGTTAGTGGCTGAGGACTCTTCAGTGTTATTTCCTGTGATAGAGAACACACAAGAAGAAGAGACTTGGGCAGGGGGGTGATGAGTTCAGTTTGGGAAATGTTGAGTTTGAAGTAACCAGTAGAACACCCAAGTGGAGATGTTCTGTAGGCAGTTGGATAAACAGGTCTGCGGTTCAAGAGAGAGATACACACTAAAGATAACACTTTTCTAGTTATCTACAACAGGGTGGTAGATAAGCCAGAAAATTGGATGAGCTCACCCAGAGAGAGTAAGAACTGGCTTAAGCAAAAAGATGCATTTAGAATCAGATCCTGAAATCTAAAGACAGGGATGACTGGACTGGAAGAACAAGTGGAACAAAGAGACTCAAAAGTCATCCAGGTTCTTGTTCCACTTCTCATCTCTATTTCTTTTTGCCTATCTCCTTCATTTCCCTCCCCTACCCACTGCCCCTGCCACCTCCACCCCTAGATTGGTTTCCAATGCCCTCCTGGTCCATATGTTGAAAACCAAGACTTCAAACAATTCCAAACATTGAAATCTCATTGTCTAGGTATCAAAGAGGGATGTGTTGGTTGTGTCTGTTGCTGCTACTTTTTTTTTTTGTACTGAGACTTGAACTCAGGGCTTTCACCTTGAGTCACTCCACCAGCCCTATTTTTGTGAAGGGTTTTTCCTGATAGGGTCTCATGGAACTATTTTCCCGGGCTGGCTTCAAACCGCAATCTTCCTGATCTCTGCCTCCTGAGAAGCTAGGATTACAGGCATGAACCACCAGCACCCAGCTGCTGCTGCTACTTTTTGAATGCAGTTTGCAAATTCTGAGGAATTGGCTCAAATTAGACGGTTAACTTTGGACCAATCAGTGGTGGTCAAGGGGATGAGTGTCAAATTAATTAACATGGCCCATATGATAACTCTATGGACAGTGGGTAGTGGGGTGATTTCCAGAAGAGGACCCACGAATAAGGAAAATGGCAAGTGTCCACCCTTTGTTTGCCCAACACATCCACATCATTTTCTATATATATGATTCCAAAAATGCCCTCTCCTACTGCTATAGTTTTTGGATCTAGAATGTTTCTGAAAAGGCCTATGTGTCAAAGGCTCAGTTCCCAGCTTGCTGCTATTGGAAGGTAGTAGAACCTTTAAGAGCTGGAGCCTAGTGGGAATTTTAAGTTCATTGCAGGTATGCCCTTGAAGGGGATTTTGGGACTCTGGTCTCTTCCTCTTTCTCTTTTTCTCATCTCGGCCATGAAGTGAGCAGCTTTGCTCTGCCACAGCTGCGTTCCTTGATGTGCTGCCTCACCATAGGCCAAAAGCAACCAGGCCAACCAGTCATGTATGAACACCTCCAAAACTGTGAGCCAAAATGAACCTTTTCTCTTTATAAGTTGACTACCTTAGGAGTTTTGTTACAGTGAGACACATTCTGCTTCCATTCTTGGAGGTTAATCATAGGATCACTGTTCTTCAAATACAGACTCTCTAGGTGATGTCCCATCATGCCTTAGTTAGCTCTCTTAAGAGATCTGAATATGGCTTCTAATAATTCCACCACCTTTTAGCTGCCTTGGTACTACCTTTAATCTCCCACCTTCCCCCCGCCCCAAAAAATGTCCTAATATTTAGAGACAGAATAGGAAGTAAGATGTAATAAAAAGGAAGCACTGGCTTGGCACCAGCAGCTCACCTGTAATCCTAGCTACTTGGGAGGCTGAGACCAGGAGGATCACCATTTCAGTTCAGCCGGGATAAACAGTTCAAGAGACCTCATCTTCAAAATAACCAGAGCAAAATGGACTGGAGGTGTGGCTCAAGTGGTTGAGTGCTAAAAGCAGGAGCCCTGAGTTAAACCCCAGTCCTACCAAGATAAATAAATAAATGAATGAATAAATAAATAAGCACTATTAGTCACTAATCCATAGATATATATTTTGGCCATAAATAATGATGAAAATGATGGGACTAGAAAACCTCATGGCATCTGACTGTTGATTTACTTCCTTGGCTGTGAAGTTTCTCCGTTAGCCAATGTGACTGCCTCAGGTTTTGCCCACAATGATAAGCTCCCTTCTCCAGTGTTCTGAGAGGGTGGTTGTGGGGCACTGCACTGATTAGCACTGCACTTTCTGGTGTTATGTTAGGGACTGTCCTGGGATTAAGCACGTGTAGATCTCTGCATTTATGAGGACTGGGTATGGAGGGGCCCCCCTCCAGATGATTATAGTTCTTTGGGGTGGGGTGGTGTGGGTGTGTGTTGGAGATGGGACCCAGAACTTGGTGTATGGATACACTTCGTTTAAAACCATAATCAGCTGCCCATCAACTTCATTTGAGGGGAATTTCATTTGCTGACAATACATTTCATTAGTTCTAAGGGGCAATGTTTTTTTCTAACTTAAACAACTTTGAAATCAGAATGTGCTTTTCAAGTACTGGCATGTAATAGTTTTCAGTCTCTTTTTTTTTTCTTAGGAGTTCATGAAATAACCTGCCTCTTATAATTGATAGAATATGAAATTTATTAAATATAGTAATTTTGTCAGTCAGGGTTCTCTTTCACAAACACTAGAATCCACTCTGGATAGTTTAAGCAGAAAAGGGATTTGTTAAAAGAGATCATTTAGCTCAGAATTGTTAGGAGGGCTGGGGAAATGGGCTTGAGTCTAAGCTTCTAGGAACAATATCCAAACCATACCACACAACTGATGAGGAAACCACAGCCATTGCCTCTCTGAATACCGAGTATCAAGCGTTCAATTTGACTGCTAATTTTACAAGCTCCATAGCACTCTGTGGTAGGAACTCATTATTGCAACCTCTGGGAAACCACTGCTGTTGCCACTACCACCCCCAAAGTTGGACACTTGTGTTGCTACCAACAACAATAGAAATCGAAGTCCTGTGTGCAGCCTGCTTCCTACCTCTATCAATCAGGATTAGCCAGGTGGCATAGTAATTCCAAATAACCCCAAATCTCACTGGCTTT